TAAAATTAAATATTAAATTTTAATGATAATGAATATTTTAAATAACTAACCTTTGTAATAAGACACTTCACTTTTTGAGGGTCTGTTTTGGCCATTTTTTTTAAATGATGGGGGTGGGGGTCACCCCCATCATCAACCACATGAAGTTTTCATCATTACATCTTCCCTGTGTAACATTATTAAAACATCTATGTATTCAGAGGATAACACTGAAAACCAATGCTGAGTAGCTGAGGCAGCACTACATCTGAAGTGGGACACCCAGAAACATCAGTTTCTAAGTAAGAATACATTTTCTTAAAAAACAACATAATTCTTTCAATTTCAATATTATTTTCAGCAAGTTTTTGTATTTTTATATACATCTTACACTAGTTTAGCATTTTTGAACATGCGTAGTGTTTTCATTCTTTATAAAAACCATGTTTGTTTATAAAGTTTTTGTGAGACTGACCAAAGAAGGTTATATTGAAGTCTCTTATGAGGATGAGAATTTAAAACTGTTTCTAAAATGATAAAATTGGTTTGTTCATTTGCTTTCTATAAAAGGTTAGTATTTTTATTTTATTTTATTTATTTTTTTACACAACTCTCTGCCCTGGTGGTAATGTCTGTATCAAAAGCCAGATTTGCAGCAATTTAAGCATAAACATGAAGTTCTACAAACCCAAATGACAAGAAACAGAGGAGGAAAGAAAACATGCTTTTATTATGGAAAGAGTGATGGTCCTGCACTCCAAAACACACGTGAGCACTCAGAGATTATTAATACACCCAGTTCTCATGGAAAATCAAATGAATAAGAACACTTAGTAAGCCCTTACCTCTCCAGCAGACCCTTGGGCTAAACGCTCAGGTTGATTAAAAGCTAATAAGTGATCATTTCATTATTCATCCATTAAAGGCAGATAAAAAAAAAAACATCTACTTATGTCAATTACAACATTGTAAGGTTTACAGTGATTGCTTTGCTCCTAAGAAAAAATGCCAAGTGAAGTTGGTAACATATTTCAGTAGTGATATATCTCAGGTTTTTCTTAGATATATAGCCAAACTAAGACATTCTATTTTATATAATAAAAAATAGAGATTATAAGTCAGTAAAATGTATGCGGTGAATCTATCTGCTACTATCTGTAATACTTAACAGATTCTGTTCAAGTCTATATTTGGTGTAAGAATAAACTGAGTCAGGAGAAAAGCAAACACATTCCAGTTAAAGCAGTATTGCGTGTAATTATTACCAAAAGTGTACATAAAATATTTCTGCCTGTTCAGACTTCACACAGAAGTTATGCATTCAGTAGTGCTGGTCAGACACACTCCACAGTCACATCTTAAGGCCACAGGGTAGGTGTATGTTGGATCTACATTGGGCTGACAGTTTGGTAGTTTCACAGTCTCCAGCCGAGTCTCATTGTAAGTACAAACCCGCTGATAGGACTCAATGAAGGGAGGCTCCAGGATTGGCTTCTGAAAAAAACAAAAATAAGTTTATTTTGTTGTAAATTTATTTATCACTTTGTTGTAATACTGTCAGGGTTCACTGTATGGCAGGCAGGGTTGGAGCCAAACGCTAAAAAAAAAAGCAGGTTTATTGCTGAGAACTTTCAAAATAAAACAGGAATTAACAAACACTCAGACGAGGACCGAGACGTGAACATGACACACTGACAGAATCTATATACAGGCAGACGCACACTGTGCACACTGTGATTATGGTATTTAACCGCTTGTAAAGTGTCCTTGTGTGTCTTGAAAGGTATGTATAAAAGTCTATTATCATTATCATATGCATACTATATATACACACACACAAATACTGGTATATGGCAGCACCCATGTATTTATGTAGGCTTTTCTGTTCTCATTCTCAACTGGATAACAAATAATGTGTTTCCAACTGTCGTGGTTGTTACGCTCCCTCTTCCTTCCTCGTGACTAACATATCTGAGTGTTTTGTATGCTAATTAGTGCATGCAAGCCCATGTTCCCGATTAGTGGCTGCATATGTTCCACATCGTACCTTTCATCCTCATTGCTGGTTGGACTAGTGGCCCAATCCTGTCCTTCAATTAGCATGCAGACTTAATCAGTGCACCTGTTTTTAAAGGGAAGCCAAACTATCACTGAGTGCTGCTGTGATTTACTGATGTGTCTCATTCTGGTGAAGGTTATGTGTGGCTTTGTACTTTGTTTTTGCAATAAGTGTAACTTAAAGTCTCATACAAATGCAGTCTAGTTCTTTTTGCTCCATACCTGTGTTGTTGTTGTATTTTAAGACGATGACAAAATCCATGAATAAGGAGGCTGGGCTTTCTTTATCATTTCATATTAATGATAATTCTTTCAGCTTGCCAAAGAAAGCTGCTCCAGTTAGCTTCTATATTCCAAGCTGTGTTTGATGGGACATTTGTGACACATCCTCACATTACATTAAACACCTTCAGTGTTCCTCAAATACTTTATAAAATAACAATAGTTTATCTTGGTTCTATTTTCCAAAGAATGCACAAATGAATGCGGTTCCGTGGCCTGCACGTCACAGATTTAACCCCCGACCTCCTGGTGTCTGTCCTCAGACTCTCCCTAAAGCAATACATCAGCTCCCTCTGCTGTGCCCTGACCTCCCTGTGGGGGAGAACAGAGAAAAAGATGAGGCTCTTCCCTGAGGCGATCCAAAGAGCAGAACAACACAAAGCTCCGCTACGCTGCAGTAATAAAGCAGAGAGAATCATAAGCTTTCTAATGCCTCCCGTCACTGAATGCAATGTTCCGGATGAAACTTGAGATTTCACAGCGTCTTTTTTTTCATAATAGTATATGGTGACTTCTGAAATCCAATTGTGTCTCTCATGCTCTTGAGGCATTGTGGAGGAAACCTCTGCTGTCACTTCAATCTCTGGATTCCACGCTGCTTCCTATTCCTGCAGAATGTTAACTCAATTTTAGCACTCCAAAAGTCTTCTGTCTTTATTCATTCTTATGCAAGAGTTTCACTTCAGACAGCCACTCATTACTATGTGACAATAACTAGATCTTGGTAGGGTATTGCAAACACTGCATATATTTTTTCCCCTGGACATCTAACTACCTCACCATCTCATCCTCTATGTGTCTGTGTAGCAGCTCAATCCCTGCTTGCACTTGCAGCTGACCTTGGGAGAAAGCGAAAACAAATTTTCTCCAGGGCGGGATCACCCATCTCTCCATCTCTGTATCTACAGTATTCACTTCATCTGTCTCTGCCTCTCTCTGTGTTTAACTGTCTACTAAACCATTTTGTTCATCTTTTTTATCTATGCTGATAATTTAATTTTGAGTAAAGTTGTGAGTTATATCACCTCGTACTATAATCATATTCTTTCAGTCCCCCTTATCCTCCCTGTGTGTCTGTGCCTGGTACAGTGGCCCTTGTCCTCACCTCCCAGGTCTCACAGCGCCCCCAGCAGGCATCAGTGGTGATGTGCAGACTCCCACAGCCAGGCTTCCTGGCCAGGAAGGTGAACTCCCGGACTGCGCAGCCAATGAAACGCCGCAGGTTGATGGTTGACACACAGCTGATGTTGGACTGTAGAGAGATCCCGAGCAAAAAGCAACACAGAACCACAGCAGGCTTCCTGAGGAAGAGAAGGATTTGTGGACGTAAAGAAGGAGGAGTGATTTAAAGAAGGCTTTAAATAGGATTTATGAGGGCATACTTGATGCAAGCGAGGAGGCTGACTCCCTAAATGCATGAACACATTTCTTTAGAGTGAGAGCATTCTGGCCTCTGCATATCGATGTGAAGCTGTCCCACTGCACTTTTTTTGGTGTCAGTTATTTGTAAGCTTGAAATAAAATCAATTAAAATGGAATCATAGGTGTTTACTGTAAATCTGTAATCTACCTTATCCAATGTTGCTTTTACATGGCCTTAAATGTATTTCCTATCTTGATAATATTCAGAATAACCATTCCATTCCTCTGTGCCTCAACCAGGACACATTCAGGAGACTAAAAGAGCAAATAAAAGCAGGAAAAGTGCTACATCGTGTCTCTGCTGACATTCCACCTCAAAAATGTAATAAAACCCTGAACTTTCCAGTCAAGTCATTTCCTTTAGCACTTGACTTTAAATGAGTTTATTCTCAGTGTGCTTTAGCTGAGATGATACCTCTTTAGTTTTCACTTTGTAGTATTGGGGTTTTAATGCAAATGTTTTAGGAATGAAGCCCATAACAGCTGTATGGTAGAGTGTGTCATTCATCACCTGAATACACAGCTAAGGACAGTGTCAGGCATCGGTCAGGTCTCTGTTTTTTATTAAATCACGTTCATTCCTCTATAATAGAAGTATGGTCCAGTACTGGTCAAGAAATTATTGGAGTTTTAATCCTTAAAAATATAATTTTTCAGTTTTCATAATTTTGTAATTCCTCTCATTTGATACATTGTCTGCCAAAAGCACACAACATGTTAAAAACTAGAGGTGGGAATCACCATACATCCCACGATACGATATTATCACAATA